TCCCCCGCCGCCCGCCGCCCATGCCTGCCCGGCGGGCCCGCCGCGCCCCCCGCCCGCGCCCCTCCCAGGCCCCTCCCTCCGCCGACCCCCCCACCTGCCATCCCGGGCGCGTCACATAATCCCGTCCAACTGGCGGCGGCGGCGGCGGCGGCGCTCAGAGTGACACGGAACAGACAAAGGGCGCCGCCATCTTCGGGGCGGGCGGAAGCGGCGTCGGCGTGGCCACCGCCCTCTTCCACGGAGGTCGACGTGCGCAGGCGCACGGCCGGGGCTTGCGCGCGCTGCGCGGCGTCTCGCTCGGCATTGGCCCGCCCCGCCCTGTCCCGCCGTGACGCCGGAGGCGCGGGCCGTGGCCGCGCAGCCCGACCCGCCCGCGCCTCGATCGCCGCCTGCACGTGCCCGGCGTGCGGCGGGGAGCGGCTCGGCTCGGCTCGGCTCGGCTCAGCGGCGCTTCCTGCGGCAGCCGCGCGGGCCCCGGTGCCCTGTGCTGCCGGGCGGGCTCCGTCCTCGGCGGAACGCGGGGCGCTTCAGCGGCTCGTCTCTGAGCGTCGCGGGGAGGGGCGCTCCGGGCAGAGCCCTGGCACTGCCCGCGGGAGCCCCGGGTGCGGGTTCGGCAGCCCTGGGTTGGACCGGCCTTGCAGGGGCTGCTCGGCACGCGGCGGCTCCTGGCCTTTTCTTTCGGGTAGCGCCTTTGCTCAGAACCATGAGGACTGGAAGCTTAGGGGGCCGTGGGGCTGCCGTAGGGGCCCGCCTTGCCCGCACGGACTAAGTCCCCGCAGCATCGCCGAAGAGGGCCAGGCGGGGTCTGCCTGAAACCCCGGAAAGCGGCCGCAGTGCCTGCGAGGGGCAAGGCGGCTCCTAGGCCCCTGTGCCTCAGCTGCAACCGGGCGGACCCTTGTGCCAGGAGGCGTCGCTGTTTTGCAAGGTTCGCTTCACGGGATGTACAGAACGTGCCCCCCCCCCCATCCTAAGTGCCAATCCGGGATCAGCCAGGGCGAACGCGCTGCAGAAGTGCCTCAGCCCCAGTTGCCAGAGCGGGCAACCGTGTTAGTCCATCGAAGCGACAAACCACAAAGGGCCCTGTGATGCCTTGAAAACGGAGGTGTTTATTCTGGCATGCAAAGCTTGCGAGGACGAGCAGTCCATCCAATCCAAGCAACTGTAGAGGAATCTGCCTTTTCTCAGCATTTCATAATTTGCTTTACTGGGCACTTCAGCCCTCTTCAGAGCGTCCATTGGGGGCACCCCACTGCTCCCCCATGCAGGATGTTCTCATATTTGCACAGTCACACACAGGCTAGTCCTGCAAGCTTCCAACAGGGTAGATTCTCATGTCAGCACGTCAGCCCTGGGGGGAGGGGAGTGGGGGGGCAGGAACGCAAAGCAGCACCCCGAGCCCCCACATGGCTTTACTCTCCCGCTTGCTCAGCCTTTGCTGCTCCGGCCTTTCGAAATGGATAAAACTGCCCAAGGGTGGGGCAGGCACCCCGGCCCCAGGAGGACTGGCTGGCTGAGTTCCTTCGCTCCTGCCTGCCTGGATGGGCACCTTCCCAAAGTCCCTCTGGAGTGCAAAGCCGGCCAGGAAGGCGCTGCCTGCAGGACAACGTGCCAGCGGGCCGGCTTCCCATCAGATTCCTTTTCTGGTGCCTGTCTAGTTGGGCTTATCCTTCCCTGACCCAGTATGCGCAGCTGACGGCCCCTGAATGCCGAAGCGGGAGAGGACACGGTGACCTCTGCAGGCGTCTGGCGTCTGAACAGTGCAGCCCCCGCGGTCTGCTGGGCGAGGGCTTGTGGCAACTCACAACAGTCTTGTCCCAGGGCCAAACAGGAGGTGCCGCCCGGCCTGTTTTGCAGACAACACAAGGTCCAGAGTTGGCCCTTCCCCACCAGCCACCGCTTTGGAGACAGGCCAGCATCTCGTGCAAGAGCCTCGCCACCCTGGTCCCCACCACGTACTCGGGCGGACAGAAATAGGCCAGGAGCTCCTCTGCGCAGAGGGGGCAACGGGGTATGCTCCCATAGCACCTCCCAAATGTAGACTCCCGTAGGAAGCCAGCCCGGCAAAAGAAGCTGCCTGCAGGCCTGTCCCTCTCTCGGCTGCCATGCCAGGGAGCAGGAATGCCGGCTGCCCTGCTGAGCCTGCGTCTGGCCCGCATCCCTGCGAGTCCCACGGACAGAATCCGACAAATGAAAGGAGCCCCGTGCCAGAACAGCTAGCCTGAGAGGGCTCTAGCCTGGCCTCCCCCCCGACTTCCTGGCCTTCTAGCTGCAGAGATGACTTCCCGTGTCGGAGCTCCTGGCATGTGATCTCCAACATGGCCTGCGTCCTGCAGCTCACTCACCTGCCTCTGCATGAAAGCAGCGGAGGCTGCACTCAGAGCGTGGGCTCCCAAGCAGGCCTGCCCGTTTGCGGACGGGCTGGAGTCCTGCCTCCACCCGGGATGGGCCGGCCGGCCTCTGGTCCCTTTGGGCTCCTCTTTTCATACCCAGGCAGAGTGCGGCGCACGCATCCCGTCCGGCCAGCCGGAGCTCGCTTGTGCCAGCTGGATTTTGCTGAGCTTGTGTGCATTGCTGCACCGTGTGTGTGCTCCAGTTTGGTCGGTGAAGTTTGGCAACTGGGGCTGGGAGGTTTGGGGCAGAACCACCCAGGGAGACTGGGCCCATGTGCCTGGCAATCTGCCCCTCTCCTGGGGCTCCTGAGCGGCCACGGCAGAGTGCAGGACACGGAATACTCGACTCAGGTTGCGGCAGCCCAGATTCGGGCTGGACATCGGGAGAAGCTTCCTCACAGTCAGAGCAATGCGAGTGGCACTGGCTGCCTGGGGGGGGCTCTCCCACACAGCCCCCCGTGTGGGAAGGGCTGGCTTGGTGCCCTGCAGCAGCAGGGGCTGGACCCGAGGGCCTCCTTGGCCCCCTCCAAGCTCTGCTCTTGTAGAGCCAACATTCTGCAGCCCCCGCCCACCAGGAGCACCGGCCCGTCAGCCCAGCTGGTGGTCTCTGTCCATTGTCAGCGCCTATTTCCAGAGGGTGAGTCAGTTCTTCCTTCCCTGTCTCTGCTGTGTCCCGAGTGAGTCTTGGCCCGGGGCCCACAAAGACCGGAGAGCAGCGGACTGTCGGGAAGAGCCCCAAGGACACAGGCGCCCTCCGCCGGACCCTCTCCGCGTCATGGCAGAGTTCCCTCCGAGAAGCAGTCCTAGCTAATATCCCAAGGCTCAATGCTTCCTCCTCAAGTTCCCCTTCGAAGAGAGACACGCAAAGCCAGCGAGGTGTGAAACTGGAGCATCAGCAGTGCTGGCAGAGGATCTGCAGAAATCGGGGTTCAGCAACCGGTGGCTGTTGGACTGCAACTCCCATTAGCCCTGTCGGAACAGCCTGCAGGGTGGGGTGATGGGTGTGGTAGTCCAGCGAGGGCTGGAGGGGCACCCACGGCGAGCCTCCACAGGAACCCTGCACAGGCTCCGCTGGATGCCAGTTGCGCCATGTCCCTTGGGACCTTCCGGCTGGAATAGGTGCAGCCTCGGGCTGCTCGGCGAACACGCCGCACCTCCCCAAGGCTTGCCCCCCCACCGAGCCCCTGCGAAATCCCAGCCTTGCTCCAGGTGGGAGTCCTCCCAGGAGGGCCCTCGCCCGCTTCCGACCTGCTGCCCCCCAATCCTGAATCCCACCCACAGGGCACTGCTGGATTCGGCTCGGCGTCCTTGTTCAACTCCCCCCGAGCAAAGCAGACGTGGAGCGTGGCCCAAAGCTGGAGTCTCTCCCACCCAGAGAGGGTTCCCCTTGGGCAGCTGGGCTGAATGACGGTCCTGCTGTGTGTCTCAGAATCCATCCACTCCCCCCTCCGAAAACGTTCCTGTTGTCAGAAAACCCTTGGGAAGGGGAGTCATGTGTGCAGCATGAGGAGAGCTGGAGCGTGGCAGGCTTGGGGTGTGGGGCGAGAAGGCGCCGGCCCCCTGCCCTGTCCCAGCACCCGCGAGGGGCACACCAGACCAGGCCCCGGCCCTCCAGGGCAAGGCTGGGATTTCGCAGGGTGGCAAGCGGCAGCTGCAGCGAAGGAGCAAGCGGAGGGGGCCGAGCTAGCAAGTGTCACCAATAATTTATGCCAATCCCACGAAAAGCCGCGAAGTCCAAAGGAGAGCTCTGGTCGGGCTGCCAGTCGGCCAGACCCTCCTCACCTCCAGAACCGGTCCCCGGCGCCCTCCCCGCACACCCTGCTGCCCCCGGCGAGCACCCACCCCTCGCGCCAAAGCCTCAGATCTTGATCTCAGTCCGAAAGGTCTGTTGGACATGCTCCGGGTGCTTGGCCGGGCGCCGCCTCGCTTTGACTGTCAGGGAGCCATCGGCACCCAGGGCCGAGGTGACTGAGGTGGGGTCCACGTCTTCCGGGAGCTGGCACTTGTGGGTGAAGGTGTTCATGATGGTCCCATCGGCCGCCAGCTGCGGGGGAAGGAGAGCGCAGTCAAGGCCGTGTGAGGATGTCGCCCCAAGAGATGGGCAGGTGCAGTGGGCGCAGCCCAAGCAGCGGCAGCGATGGGCGGGCAGCCTGCCCCAGGCCATACCCATCGGTCGAGAGTGAGCCTGGATGTTGCCATGCCCCTCGAGGGCTTGCCGGCCAGAAAGCGCCGTCAGACACGCCTGCGCCGGGAGCCAAAGCAGAGTGCTGCTTCCCACTGCTGGCCGGCCAAGCAAAGGGGCAGCCCTTCCCGGCCTTCCCTCCACAGGCAGTGCCAAGGCAGGACCCCGAAGCATGTGAGGGACGGCTGGTGCCCACGGCTGCTGACGCGGCTGCGTCCCACAAGGCTGTCACTTTCTACAGGCTGGGACTGGCCCCAGCCTGGAGGTTCTGCAGCCCTCTGCTGGCAGCCCCCCCCAGGCCCCTCCATGCCCTGAGGCGACCTCTGCGCGCCCAGCCGCAGCCGGGGGAGGGCAACTCTGGGGCACTCACCTTTTCGGCGCGAACTTCGATCTGGTTCTTCGAGGTGGTGATAATGATGTCCTCCGGGGAGAAGTCGCTGACGTCCACCACAAACTGGTATGTGTCCCCGAAGGTCTTGATGTTTCCCATGCCGCCAGCACGGCCTGCAGGAAGGAGAGGAGCTGAATGCCAACCTTCCCACAAGGATGGGTGTCCCTGCCCGTGAAAAGGAGGCTCGGCCATCCTTCGCTGGAGACTGGAAGCTGGGGAAAGGGCGCTGCAGCAACTGGGGCATTGCGGGCCCCTTCCTGCCTCCTCGTGTGCCGTGCCTGTTTGCACTGCAAGCCAACCAGAGGGACAGCCCTCTTGGACGCTCGGTGCGCTCACTGCCCCAGGAGGCCCCTGGTCCGAGGAGCAGGAAAAGCGCTGCTCCGGCCCTGCTTCCTCTGGGCTGGGTCCCCAGGTCTCCGCCTGGCCAGACAGAGGTCTGAAAGGGCACGGATGCGGGTTCTTTCCTGCCAGCGCTGCCTCCCCCCCCCTCCTCCTCGGGGCACCCGGCAGAAGGCTGCATCACGCCCTTCCCGCCCAGGGGCCCTGGCCAGCCCGAAGGGGCCGTACTTTGGGCTTCTCCGGGCACCCCTCCAGGAGGCGCCCTGCACGGAGCCCTGCCCTGCCGAGAGCAGCAATGCAGCCATGCGATGGCGCCTGGGGTGGGGTGGATGGGCAGGGAGCCCCTTTGCCGCCCTCGCAGAGGCACCTCCTGCTGGTCCTGCTGGCGTTCCAGAAGTGTGGGAACCAGCCCGGCAGCCGCCCGTCGGAGGAGCTCCTGCATCCAGGGGGGAACGACAGGGTCCACGCCCACCCGCAGCAGATCCCCCATTAGGAAGGCCCCTTGGTGACCACAAGCAGGACAGAGACCCCTCCCCACCCGTGGCCTGGGGAGCCCCTGCCAGTCAGCGGAGCGAGATGGGGCGTGGGAGTCCCCAGAGGGCCCCGGTCCTTCCCGTAGCAGTGGGGAGAAGAACAGCGCCTGCGGAGGAAGCCAGCAGGCCCCCGGCTGCCCCACTGCTGCCCCAACTTGCCTGAGAAGCCCAGCACTTCACCGTGTGGCCTCCTGAAGCCCCCAAAATCATCGCCAAATATTCCGTGGGCTTTCTCCATGGGATGACGGCGGGAGAGGCTGCCAGGAGCGGACCAAGGAGGGAGCAGGAGGGCGGGGTGGCTCCAGGCGAGGGTCCCTGGGAAGGAGGCAGGCGTGTGTGGTCTGTCCTCCGACGAAGCGCCTCTTTCTGGGACAAGATGCAGGTGGGGAGTGGCTCCGGCGGACCCTTCCGGAATCGGCCCCCACTGGCTTGCGTTCACTTGGCTGCCCGGGCAGCTCCGGAGCTTATAAAGCAACCCGCGCTCCCTGGCCGCCTCCCAGGACTCCTGTCAAGGGCTAAATTTAGGGCGTTATGCATCACGCTGATAAGCCTCGTGGAACGTGTCCCTCGGTGGGCTCCACACAAACAGGAGCCACGCCTGCCCGGCTGGCCTGTTGCTCTGCCTCCCCAGAGGGCTGCCGTCCCGTCCCGCCTGCATGGAAGGGCCCCGCGCAGCATCCAGGGAGCCCCACGGGCACACTTGGGCTGGCAGAGGCTGGGGTCGTGATGCCCCGGCTGGGGCCACCGGGGCGCCTCGGGCTGCCGTGGGGAGCGCTCCAAAGGCGCTGGGCTTGGACAGTCACCGCAGCTCTTTGGGCGGGGGCTTGGTCACGGTAGCAGGTGGCAATCCAGCTGGGAAGGGGACCGTAGGAAAAGCCTCACAGTGCAAACGCTGCCCGGATCACAACCGTGACAGAGGGCCTGGAGGGAAGGGACGGGAGGGGAAGGAAGGGGCGGCCGCGGCAGCCCTTCCCCAGCAGAGCAGTGTGCCCTGCTGGCTCTCGCCGCTTCCCTGCCTGCCCGCTCCTTCGCCCATGTAAGGCGCTCTTCCGCAACTTGCTGGAACGGCTCCCAGAGCCATTCCAGGGCCTGTGCCAAGCGGGCCGGTCCTCCCGTGCCAGGAATGCGTGTGGCCATGGAGGGGCAGGGCAGCTTGGGGCGAGTGTCCCGGCAGGGCTGAGCCGGGCGGGCGCCCCCCAGCCGGCTCCGGGCACGCATGCCGGGCGGGGGCCGGCTCGGCGCTAAATGCGGCTGCGGGGTCATCGCTGCGGCAAAAGCCTGAGTCACGCTTGGCTCCCTCGAGGCCCAGCGGGCTGGGGTCACGCGGAGGGCTTGCTCCGTGCCGTTCCCACACGGCGCCAGCCCTCTGGAGCGCAGGGCGGGATTCCGAGGGGCCCTTTGCCCCACCTCGCAAGAGGATGCGGGCTGAGCCGGCCTGCGAGGATCGCTGCCACTCGCGGGGAAGGGGGCGTCCGCAAGGGCTGACCGCCTTGTCCTCACCCATTAGGACAAGCCCACCCCTTGCAGCAGGCAGCCATAAAACGCAAAGGTTCAAAGCAGAACCCCAAATGGCACAGAGGAGAGTCAGGACGAGACCAGCAGCAAAGCGTGGGATCCTTCCAGAAGCACAGGAAACCAACTGAAAGGTGGCGGCAGAGTAAGATGCTAAAAGCAGGGCCATTACATCAGTGGGTCCACACCACACGTTTTCCCTTTTGTGAGAAAGCGAAGGAGGGCCCGTGTCCTCCAGCTGTCCCTTTGATCCTCTCAACAGCCCTGCGAGGACGAGGCCGGCCCTCCTGAGCCCCTGCTCCTCCCAACACAGCCCATCGCTGGGAAGAGCCAGCGCGAGTCACTGTGAATGCAAACAGGTCCAGGGACTGCTAATACCCGGATCGGATGACAGGCGGGGAGGGAAAGTGTGGCGGACGCGGGCCAGCTTGGGCCGGTTCCAGCGAGCGTCCCCACCTGCGGCTCTGCTCTGGTTCTTTCCAGGGTGGCTCAGCCTTGCTCTCTCAAGGGCATTTTCTGCAGTGCCCACAAACACCGGTGGCTATTTGGAGGTCAGGGAGAGAAAGAGGGGCGGAGAGAAAGCCGGGAAGACAGGTGTGTTACCTGGCCCGTACAGGTGTGTTACCTGGCCGATGCAGGTGCAGGGAAGGGATTTGCTTTGATGCAGTGACTGCTGAAACCGAGGATCAGAGGGGTATCTCAGCTTCCGCGCCTTGGCACTTACTTGGGAGCAAGCGCCCTTCGGCACAAGGCATACCTGTGTGAAAGCTTGCAGAGTCCACTTTCAGCCTCAGGTAAGGGGAAGAAGCTGCACTGGGGGCTTCCAGCACAACCTCCCCCGGCAGCAGACCACCATCCCTGCCACTCCAATGTGTGTGCTGCATGGGGGGGGGGGCCTTACTTTTAACTTGTATGCTTACCGGTTGTTGGGGTCTTGGAAACGCGCGGCGGAGTTCTGACTTGGGTGAAACGAGGCAGGAATGTGGCTGGTTTCGGAACAATGGGCATTCCTGTGGAGCGACCTTCCCCGGGGCTGCACAGCCCCACCTGGCCTCGCCTCTCACGAGTCTGGCCGCCCCACACGCACCCTGCTGGCGCTGAGCAGCCCTGCCCTGCCCTGCCCTGCCCTGCCCTGCCCTGCCAGGAATGGCCCCCTGGGGCCCCGCCAATGCCCCTGCACAGCTCAGTCTCCCACAACTGGCACCTGCCAGGGATGTCGCTAGGCACCAGGCAGCGATGGGAATTGCAGTCCAAGCATCCAGGGGGTGCCACGGGGTGGGAATTTGTGGCTCTGCCCAGAAGCAGCCGGCAGGTGTCTCAGGGGCCCAACTGCTCCTATTCCACCATGACTCCAGGTGTGGGTGGCCGGGATGCTGGTATTGGGAAGCAGAGAGACCTCCCCTCCCCTCCCCTCCCCTGGCCATGAAGGGGCCACAGCCAGGCCTGCCTCCTGCCTTCTCTCTCCAGCTCGACACTCCGCCTTCCCAGGGCCGCTGGCCTGGCTCAAATGATGCCTGCAGAAGGGGAGCCGGTGGTCCGCAGAGGGGAGGAGGGAGGCGAGGGTGAGGAGGAACGCTTTCTGGCCTGGGAGGAAAGCTGGCGGCCCTGGCCGGGAACACGGAAGAAGGTCAGAGGTAAGGAGGGCCGCTGGGCACAGAGGGGGCGGGAGGTGGGGGACCTCCAGGCAAGTGGCCCTGGCCGGCCCGGGCAGCAGGTCTGGGAGCGCATGCCCAGCCGGACTCGCCAGGAGCCGAATCTGGCCAGGACCAAATGCCCGGAGGCAGCCTGCCCTGGTGCTCCCCTTGGCCATGGGCCTGCCGAGCCCAGAGAGGAAGAGCTCAAGAGCCACGCCGTGGTCTCCCGAAGGCGAAGGGGAGCCCCGCAGAGCCAGAGCCAGGGCTGCCGGTCCCTTTCGCTCCTGAGGGTCCGACCGGAGAGTCCGCACCGCCCCCTTGGCACCCCATCTGGCCGTGGAGTGCGAGGTGCAGTGGCGCACGGTTGCGCCTGGAATTGGGGGCAGCAGCGCTTGGAGAAGATGCCTCTGGCGAGCCACTGCGGGGGTGGCCCTGACACTGAGGCCCCGCCGTCTCACGCTGCCCGCCCCCTGCAGGCTGCCTGTTGTGGGTCAAGGCGCAGCTCTTCCGTGTGGGGGACGACTGGTACTTCCTCTTCGCCTTGGGGGTCCTCATGGCCCTGGTCAGCTTTGCCATGGACTTCACCGTCTCCAAGGTGGCCAACGGTAACTTGCCGGCAGGAGCAGTGGGCGGGGGGCTGACAGAGGGACCCTCGGAACGATGGCGGGATGCTGACTCTGGGCTGAGGCAGCCTGGAGAGGATGGCAGCCGGCCAGGGAATGCGTGAGCCCTTCTGGAGCAGGACGGAGGCCGTTCTCGCCCCCGCCTTGACTGGCTGCCCCCACACGGGGCACCAGTGCGCAGGTGCTCTCCTGGTCGAGCTCCCCAGTGCGTTGTCCCTGGGCAGGGAAGCCGTGCCCAGCATGGGATGCTGGGCTGTCCTGCAGGCGCCTCCCGCACGGGTAGATGTGCCCCAAAGCCTTGTGTCGGTCACCCACAACGTGTCCAAGCAAAGCCGCTTTAGTCGTCCGGAAGACGCACCTTTTCTTCCAACATCCTGCCTCTTCCAGCCCACGCATGGCTTTACCAAGAAGTCGGGGATTACCCGGTGCTGAAGTTCCTTTCCTGGACCACGTACCCCGTCGCGCTCTCGGCATTCTCCACGGGCTTTGCACAAAGCATCACCCCGCACTCTGGAGGTGAGGCTGGGGACCGGGTCGGGGCCGCCCCTCCTGCTCTGCCTTGCTCTCCTCGGCAGATGGGCCTGCTTGGCCCAGGGAGGAAAAAGCTGGCGGGGGGGCGGGGTGAGACGTCGTCCATGCTGCAGAGATGGGCTGCCAGCCTCTTCGGTGCCCGAGGGCATGGCTGGAGGGGAGGGCGGCGGTGGCAGGAACCGTCGGTGGGGAGGAAATAGCCCAGAGGGCTCCCCGGCAGCACTGAGGCCCTGCGGCTGCCCCCCTCTGCGTGCTTCTTCCGGGCAGGCTCCGGCATCCCCGAGCTGAAGGTCATCCTGACGGGCATAATCATGGGCGAGTACCTGGCCATCGAGAACTTCGGGGCCAAGGCCGTTGGCCTGACCTGCACCCTCGCCTGCGGCAGCACCATCTTCCTCGGGAAAGTGGTGGGTGCCCCTGCCAGGGCACAGGCGGGAGGCATGGGCCACGGGGGCAAAGGACCTGCCCGGCTTGGCCGGAAGGCCTCGAGCAGTGACTGGGCCCCCTGGAACGGGAACACCCGGCCCACACGAGGGGTGGGGCACTGCCGAAGGAGGCCGGCCCCGCACACCCCTGGGGCAGAGCCTGGAGAGCCCCTTCTCTCCTCCCAGCAGGGCCCCTTCGTGCACCTCTCCAGCATGATCGCTGCCTACCTGGGGAAGATCCGGACCAGCGTCTCCGGGGAGTACGAGGTGAGGGCAGGGAGCCAGCCAGGGGCAGTGCAGGGAAGGGGGCCGGGCCCTACGGGCCGAGACAGCGAACGGGCCCTTGCCCCCCGGGGGCTGTCCGGGAGCCGCCACGTCGTTCAGCGCGGGACAGGAGAGGCATTTGCTTAGCAGGGACAGGTGGCACGGGCTGAATGTGGCTGTGTGGCAGCACCCTCCAGCCGGGCGGTTTGGGCCCACCATATGGGTGGGCGAAGCTGGGCCAGCTCGCCCCCCCAGCGGCGCGAGACCCCTCAGCATCCGCCTTCCTTTCCCCAGAATAAAATCAAGCAGAACGAGATGCTGGTGGCTGGAGCAGCGGTCGGCGTGGCGACGGTCTTTGGGGCACCCATCAGCGGTGAGCGCGCCCGAGGGGTGGGGCAGGGAAGGCTGGGGGCTCATGCTCTCCAAGCTGGGAGGCTGGGCAGGAGCTTCAAGGGGCAGCTGCACTTGATGCGGCCAGCAGGCGCTTCCCCGGAGCGGCCGGGGGGGGGGGGGGGAGTGAAGGCTTCTCGTTTGCACAAGCTCTGCCCGTTTGTTTGTATTAATTATCATCATCAGTAACACTTGCAAACTGCTTACTGTAACCGTTGAAGAGTTTGTTTCCCTTGGGATGGTGTGCTTGCAAAATTAATTGCTGGCTTACTTCTGGTGAAATTTACATGTATTCGTGTCGGTGTTGCTTCGTCGGGGCACAGAGACACCCCTGGGCCTGTGCAGCTTCTAGGCAGCCCCCTCCATGCGGACCGGGCCTCGCGACGGGGCCTCCCCAGCAGCCTGAAGTGGCCTGGGGCCCCTCTTCTCCTCGTTACGCAGGCGGGGAGCCCGTCCGTAGGGGCTGGCTGGGGACGCCCATCTCGAGGGCCAGCTCTTCAGGTCTGCCGCGCACTCGGCTGGCCTGGGCCAGGCGGGGCCCGTTGGCCGCTGGCTGCCCTGCAGGCCCGAGTGCGAGCGCCACTCCTCGTAATGCAGCGCCTGGTTCCACGCAGGGGTGCTGTTCAGCATCGAGGTCATGTCCTCCCACTTTGCCGTCCGGGACTACTGGAGGGGCTTCTTCTCCGCCACTTGTGGGGCCTTCATGTTCCGCCTGCTGGCCGTCTTCAACAGTGAGCAAGGTCAGAAGAAGAGTGTCCCAGGATGGATTGCAGGCCGAATGGGAGTGCGCGTGAGGCAGTGCCAGTGGGGCTGGGAAAGTCCGGGTTGGTTGCGAGGCAGACCCACTGCAGCCGAAAGCAGCTTGGGGCGGGCTTGCTTCTCCGCCCGTCATCCGAGACACTCAATTGCAACCACAATGCCTCTCCTCCTTTGCACAGAAAGCCAATTAAAAGCTCTTAGAAAGAGCGTGTGAGACACCGAGAGGCCGTTTCAGCCCTCCCCCCCATGGATGAAAACATTTGAATTGGCCGCCTCCCCCCCCCCCCCCCACATTCAGGAAAGTGATCTTGGAAAGCTTGTTGAAAACTTTAAAAAAGGTTCCTTGTACTGTGAGCAGAAAAGGGGAGACTTTGTGTTAGACAAAGGAAGGAGAATATAACCTGCGGAAGCTTAACAATAACGATGCCAGAGATTTGGGGCAGGGACATCGCTGCAGCATCCACAAGGGCAGGTGGAAGCACCGGCAAGTCCAGAGGCGGCCCATGCGGGAAACAAAACCTGGAACCTCCCAGGCAACGGTGTGTGTCTGGCATCGGACAAGCCTCGTCTTCCCTCGGGAGTGCCCCAGGAACCAAAGTGGGCTCGGCTTCTGAACGTTTCTGGTGCCTTCCCATCCTGCACAAAAAGTCCAAGTCCTGGTTTTGGCTTTTGCATAGCTCGAACTTGGGGCAGGCTAAGTCCACACAAGATTTGCTTCCCATGGGTCCAGATTCCCCAGCAAGGGACAACTGTGCCACTGGGAAGGGGCCTGGAGAGCGATGCGCGGGAAATTACACGGGACCAGAGGAAGCTGCCCCACACCGAGCTGAATCGCTGGTCTGTCTCGCTCAGTGTCGCCAGCACTGACCGGCAGCCACAGCTCTCCAGGGCTCCAGGCAGGTGTGTCTCTCGCCCCACCTGGCAATGCTGCCGGCATCGGGCCCAGGGCTCTCTGCTGGTGAAGCCCCCTCCGCCTTCCAATCTCGAGGAAGGGGGATCAGGGACGGGGACCCGGGAGGGTCTCGGAGGCAGAAACAGCGCACCTTTGCCGATCGTGGCTCCATTTCCCATTCCCAGAGACCATCATGGCCCTCTTCAAGACCAGCTTCACGACAGACTTCCCCTTTGACCTGCCAGAGACCTTCTTCTTCGCGCTCCTGGGGTGAGAAGGCGCTCTGCCCCGTGCGGGGGGGCAGGCAGGTCAGGGGCTCTGCAACATGCGAGAGGGGTCACCACCGGGCTCGTCTGTCTTTCGCAGACTGCTCTGCGGGGGGGTGAGCTGCGCCTACCTCTTCAGCCAGCGCTGGTTCCTGGGCTACGTCCGGAGGAATCTGCTCACGGCCCAGCTCCTGCAGACAGAGTAAGCCTCTGACCCGGCACGGCATGCCGAGGCACTCGCTGCTGCTCCTGGCGCCGTTGGATGGGAATGACAGCGGCCTGATCCCAGCTCGTGACATGGTGACTTTGCCTTCGGAGGGCCCAGAAATGGCCCTGAAGTCTCGGTCTGCTTTTCCAGGAAACCCCTTTACTCGGCGCTGGTGGCTCTCTTGCTCTCCTCCATCACCTTCCCTCCCAGCCTGGGGCAGTTCATGGCCTCCAGGGTAAATACTGGTGACTACTTTCGGCCTTCCTCCTCCTGGACAGAGAGCACCACGGAGCATGTACAGAGCAGAATTCTGCTGCTGCCAAAGGAGCACAGCTGGTTTGCTCCTGCAATGGGCAGCCGAAGCAGCGATGCTGGCGGGTGGCGTATCCTGCGCTGAAGCTCCCGGAGTTTTGCAGGAGAAACTGGGGGCATGTTGTGGTTGCCTCGTAGGGCCTCTGGCGGTTCCAAGGGGAGCTGTTCCTCAGCAGAGGTTGCTTCGAGGAGGATGCCGCCTCGGGAAAAGCGAGGCCTCTGAAGTGTGATGTGGGCCAGCAAGACCAGTGTGTGGCCAGCACTGGCCCTTTGGAGGGAGCTGGCTGGGCTACTGAATGCCACCCCCACCCCCCCATGCTGGAGCCTGCGGGAGAGGCTGTGGGGGGAGGTTCTGCCGTGGCTGCACATGGGGCCGTGTCCTGGGGCCACGAGAGGGCCCGGCGGTCCTGCTCCCGGAAGCCCCCTTTGCCTCACCCTTGTCAGCGGAGCCCCTGCAGGGGCCGAGGCCCGGGGCTCCCGCTTGCACCCCAGACGCCGCAGCGGGTCACCTCTCCTCCCTCCAGCTGAGCATGAAGGAACTGCTCACCTCCCTGCTGGACAACCACACCTGGAGTATCCTGTCCCAGAACGCGTCGCTGGCCAAGCCGCTGCAGGTCACTCCTGAGGCCCTGTGGCTCGAGTGGTGGGACCCACGCGTCACCATCTTTGGCACGCTGGCCATCTTCCTGGTGATGAAGGTATTTCTCGGCGATGCTGAGCACGCTCTGCCTTCTGCCCCCACTTGGGCCCCTCTGGACCGAAGGCTGGAGCACCAGCAGATCTCCACCTGGTCTCCTCATGGGGGAGCTCAGCTTCTGGCCGGCCACCTGTGGGACTCAGGGGGCCCAGGGGAGTCTCCGCACGGGGGCCGGTCTCCCTCCCCAAGGCTCCAGGGCTTCCAAGGGGGCTGCAGCTCGGGGAGGATCTGCACTGTCCAAGCCCAGGGGGAAATCCAGGGTAGGGTTAGGGTTAGCAAAACGGAGGGGCTTCCGATGCTTCCGGGGCCTGGAAGGTGCTTAGAAGGGGCAGATAGAATTAGCAGGCCGGAAAAATCTCCGGAAAGTGGGGTATTTTGAAATTGGCATATTTCATGGGTATTTGGTCCCTATTTTAGGGTTATGGGAAAATCCAGGGTAGGGTTAGGGTTAGCAAAACTAAGGCAGTTCCGAGGCTTCCGAGGCCTGGGAAGTGCTTAGAAGGGCCGGAAAGAATTAGCAGGCCGGAAAAATCTCCAGAAAGTGGGGTATTTTGAAATTGGCATATTTCATGGGTATTTGGTCCCTATTTTAGGGTTATGGGGAAATCCAGGGTAGGGTTAGGGTTAGCAAAACTAAGGCAGTTCTGAGGCTTCCGAGGCCTGGGAAGTGCTTAGAAGGGCCGGAAAGAATTAGCAGGCCGGAAAAATCTCCGGAAAGTGGGGTATTTTGAAATTGGCATATTTCATGGGTATTTGGTCCCTATTTTAGGGTTATGGGGAAATCCAGGGTAGGGTTAGGGTTAGCA